TCTTATTTTCATTCAATAACATATATTTAATATTATGCACTCGCCTTAGCCTCACTAGTCCCAGACATACACTTATCTCTTTCTTGCTTGATCTTATCTCGTTGACTCATCATATACTCGCTTCCGATCGATATCTACACGAAAAAACACTCCAATAATTATCGGAATTTGAACTACTCGAAAAGATTCTTACCAATGCAAACTACATAAAATACAAATTTTCATTTTCCAGCTTAAATAGTATCAGTACCATCAACCCCGTACCGATACTTATATAATAGGGTATTGATACCCTACCCTGGTACCGATTCCAAAATTAGCTTCAATGTTCCCTGGTATCGATACCCTTCATAATGGTATCGATACTCCTTCCATATGGTATCAATACTGTTCATGTAGGTATCGATACGCCATGCATAAATTCCTTATAATTTGCCTTTTAGTATCGTTACTCACCCAAAAGGTACCGATACTAGTTACCAAGAAAATGTTTCTTAGCCTAAAAATTCCAACACTTTACCCCAAATTATACTTATTTGACTCTCTTCATGCTTTTAAACTCAACTAGCCATTCTTAAACCATCATATATACATGTAATCCCTCATCATCTTTAATAACTAACTTTAACTCTTGAATTTAAGAATTCTACCAAATTTCCAACATGTTATAATTTTGATTCTATCACTTCGTATCTTTTAATTCAACTAATGACAAGTCAAATTTAGCTTCAAATTCTACTTATCAACTCTTTTCTAAAATTTCATTTATAAACCCTTAATCTTTAATATTTCCTAACTCCATCTTTTGATTATAAAACCACTTAAGTTTTCCTTAAGCTTAATTAATACCCAAAGAACAAAACCCAACATAAAATCCAAGAAATAACCAACTAAATCTTAACTCGCCTTTGTAGCAAGAGAAAATGGGAATAAGAATAAAGCAAGAAAAATAAGCTTCCAAACATATCTCCCAAATCCCACGTGTTTATCCTTTAATAAAGGAGAGAAAATATCTTTAATACTGAAAAGACCATAATAACCTTCATTCTTTCCATCCTTGTTATTTAATCCACTACAAAAAATATTCCTATTTAAGTCCCTTACTTTTTAATCTTTCGAAATCAAACCTAAAAGTTTCAAAACTTTCATTTTAGTCACTAGTCGTGAATTTGGGATGTTACAGAGTCTGTCAGGTTCAACCATCCGGTGGTACAATCAGTTGAACCGTTCACCCATCAGAACATGGAAAGATCTCGCCAAGTCTTTCTTAGAACAATACAAGCATGTCAATGATATGATGCTAGATTGTGTCATGCTGTAAAGTATGAAGAATAAGCATAATGAAAGCTTCAGACAGTATGCACAGTAATGGAGGGATTTTGTTGTGCATGTTCATCCTCCGTTTGATGAAAAAGAGACAAGGAAGCTCTTCGTATACACTTTGAAGGCTCCGTTCTTCTGGCATTTGGTTGCTATTACATTTGGGAACTTATCTGGTCTGGTTATGGCCGGAGAGATGATTGAGACGACCATTAAACAAAGAAAGATAGAGGGAGGTGAGTCAATAGAAGACCTCCCATGAAGAAGAGAGAATGGGAGATCAACAACATCAATACTTTTAATACAAACAAATGTGTTACGATATCTAAGTCAAAACCAATTGCAATTGTACTATCATGTACTTATTGACAATATACGAGGGAACCAATGAGGGAAAATGAGCATTTCGATCCGATTCCCATGACATACAAGGAATTTTACAAGTAGATTTTTTATACACATGTGGTGTCACCATGCCAAGTAGAACCACTAAAGCTCCCATACCCCAAGTAGCATGATGAACACAAACATTATGACTATCATGGTGGTATCCTGGGGCATGCTATTGAAAACTGTCTTGCCTTTAAGAGAATCAATCAAATGATGCACAACAGGAACTAGATTCATTTCAACAACTCAGAAACACCTAACGTTGAGCAGAACCCTCTGCCTAACCACTAAGAAGGCATGATTTTTTATGCCACATTCTAGTTTTTTGGGTTACGAATATGATAACTATTGTTGTTATCATAATAAAGAGGGATACGAGGTGCACGAGTATTCTGAATTTAAAGCTTTGATCTATCTCATGATGGACAAGAAGGAGCTGGAATTCTATGAGGAAGACAATGATACTCCAGAAGTCGATGTTTGTGCGACTGGAGATTCATCTTAAAAGGGGCATGGCACGGGTACAAGCTCATCTCATTTTTTGATGATGAGATTTCATCTGGAGTAAGGGGCCAGACAAACGCTTTGCATATCACCACTCATTGCAAGGGGCTCACTTTATTGAGTGTATTAATCGACAATGGTTTTGTCCTTAATGTAATGTATTTGGTAACTCTTAAGAGGCTACCAATGGATACTTCCCACATGAGAGCATGCCAAAGTGTGGTTTGAGCATTTGATGGGACAAAGAGATAAGTTCTCAGTAAAATTGAAGTACCATCTACTATTGGGCCTGCTACATATAATATAGAGTTCCCGATGATGGATATTATGCCTTCTTACAACTGCCTTTTAGGAAGGCTATGGATCCATCAAGTTGGGGCAGTGACATCAATACTACACCAAAAAGTCAAGTTTATTACCGATGAAACTCTGATAATTATTAATGTTAAAGAAGACATAGTGGCAAATATGTCCACTGATGCCCCTTACATAGATGTGAATGAGGAGGCTCTGGAGTGTTCGTTTCTATCATTAGAGTTTGTTAATGCCATATTTGTGGCTAAAGGGGGTAAAGTTTCCAAACCCAGACTCTCACAATGCACCAAGATGGAAATCAAACAGACTTTGGAAAGATGTGCATAGATAGAAAGGGTTTGGGAAATCTCTACAAGGAAGAATTAGCCCCATTTTTCCTATTACCAAGATGGATCAATTTGGGCTTGGATATCAGCCCAATCATCAACAAAGAAGAAAGGGGATTCAAAAATGCCAAGAAAGAAGAAGGGCAAGATTGACTGGGGAATAAATTCAAGGGGAGCCAATGTCTTTTCCTCCCACTCACAACACATTCAGGTTTGGTGGTTATGCTTCTGAGGAAGAATATATGATATAGAAAATGCTCTGAAGGACTTGAGTATCAATGTTATAACAATGGATGACACTAAAGACGTTGATAGATCTGGATTCAGTCTATTACCGTCGGGTTCATGATTAGCAACTCGACGGCTGAAGAACTACCTGTGGTTTTCAAATCTTTTTCAGAGTAATAATCAATCTTTCCCTATTTTTCCTATATATGGGGCAATAGGTGATCTTTTGTAAGGGTTAATGAATTGTTTTTATTTATTTTTCAATAAAAGATGCAATTTTCCTTTCCGGCAAACATTTCTTCTTCTTTTTCTCTTTCTTTCGTATATAATTTTATTTCTTTTCTTCATTCTATGTGGGTTATTTTTCTCTCGCATATACATATTTTGTTTTTCCTTTCCCTTTCAGGTCTTTGGATATTCATGATGTGGGTTATTTTTCTCTCGCATATACATATTTTGTTTTCCCTTTCCCTTTCAGTGTCTTGGGGAAACTGATGAATGTGACTACGAAGAAGAGTGCAACTTACCTTATGAGTTATTAAGAATGGTGGAGAGAGAAGATAAAAAAATATTTCCACATGAAGAGAAAATCGAAGTTTTGAATTTGGGCATGTAAGAGGAAAAGAAGGAAGTTAAAATTGGCACAACACTCTCGTCTGAAACAAGGCAAAGCTTGATAGACTTGCTTTAGGAGTAAAGAGACGTGTTTGCATGGTCATATCAAGACATGCCTGGAATAGACACGGATATGGTAGCCCAGAAACTACCAATCAAACCAGAATACAAACATGTACAACAAAAGCTAAGGAGGATTAGACCTAAAATGCTCTTTAAAATAAAAGAAGAAGTCATGAAGCAGTTTGATACGGGTTTCATTCAAGTAGCCAAGTATCCAGAGTGGGTGGCTAACATCATACTGGTGCCAAAGAAGGATGGAAAAGTGCGCATGTGCGTTGGCTACCGAGACCTCAACAAAGCAAGTCCTAAAGACAACTTCCCCTTGTCGCACATAGATATTCTGGTGGATAACATGACAGGAAATTTTTTCTTCTCATTCATGGACGGATTCTCAGGGTACAACCAGATTAAAATGCATGACGACATAAAAAAAATCACATTCGTCACAATGTGGGAACATTCTGTTACAAGGTGATGCCCTTTGGATTAAAGAATGACGGGGCAACGTACCAAAGAGCCATGGTGACCTTGTTTCATGACATGATGCATAAGGAGATTGAAGTTTATCTTGATGACATGATTGTCAAAGAACAAACTGAAGACAAACATGTCGAGAACCTAAGGGAACTCTTCCAAAGACTGAGAAAGTTTCAATTAAGGTTGAACCCAAACAAATGCACCTTCGGAGTAACATCTGGGAAGCTATTGGGCTTCATTATTAGAATAAAAGGCATTGAGGTTGATCCGGATAAAGTCAAAGCTATCCAGAATCTACCTTCCCCGCGAACACATGAAGAAGTTTGAGTTTTTTTGGGTAGATTAAATTACATTACTCGGTTCATATCCCAGTTGACAGACAAATGTGATCAAATTTTTCATCTTCTTCGAAAGAATAATTCTGATACATGGGATAATGACTGTCAGAAAACATTTGAGAAAATAAAATAGTATTTGTCTCGCACTCTTGTTTTAATGTCTCCCATCCCAGAAAAAACTTTGTTCTTTTGTCTATCCATATTTTATAATTCGATGGGATGTGTCCTGGGGAAACATGATGAATTTGGAAGAAAATAGAGAGTCATTTACTACCTGAGCAAGAAGTTCACTAACTGCGATGCCAGATATCCACCCATTGAAAAAGTTTCTTGTGCTCTAGTCTGGGCTACACGAAGACTCAGACAATACATGCTATATCATACCACTTGGTTAATTTCCAAGTTATATCTGCTAAAATTTATGATGGGTGTGTCTGCACTCTATGGAATGTTAGCCCGATGGCAAATATTACTATATGAATTTGACATTGAATACGTAAGTCAAAAGGCTATAAAAGGAAGTGTCATATCTGACTTCTTAGCAAGCAAAATGTCTGAAAACTATGAACCATTAGACTTCGACTTCCCATATAAAGACTTGATGGCTATATCTTTAGAAGAAGCAAATACTTCCACGTGTAACTCCAGGAAAATGCATTTTGATAGTGCATCAAATGCGTTAGGGCATGTCATTGGGGCTATTTTGGTCTCACCCAAAGGCAATCATTATTCATTCACTAGCAGATTAAACTTTTATTGCACTAGCAACATGGCGGAGTATGAAGCTTGTGTTTTGGGGATTCAAACTGCTATTGGACTGAACATAAAGACTTTGAGGGTGTATGGAGATTATGCCTTAGTGGTCTATCAGCTCCGAGGAGAGTGGGAAACAAAAGATACCAAATTGGTGGAATACAGAAAGCTCATTCTAAATCTACTTAAAGAATTTGATGAGGTCAATTTCTATTACATACTAAGAGAAGAGAATCAAATGGTATATGTTTTAGCTAACTTGTACAAGCATTCAAGGCTGATGGGGAAACCGACATGATGTCAATCGATATGCAATCATACAAGTACCCGACTCATTATTATCGAATAAAAGAAGTAAAAGATAATACACCATGGTACCATGATATTCTGTAATACATTAAAAATCAAAGTTATCCGAAGAAAACCACTGAGATTGACAAAAGAACAATCAGAAGAATGGCAGCCGGATATGTTCTTCATGGAGAAGTCTTATACAAGAAAATTCATGATCAAATCTTGTTAAGATGTGTAAATGCAAAAGAGGGAAAAATGATTTTAGAGGAGGTACATGACGGAGTGTGTGGAACTCATGCAAATGGGCATATGATGGTAAAGCAAGTCATGAGATGCATATACTTTTGGTCCAAATTAGGGAGTGATTGCATCAATTATGCCAGAAAATGTCATAAATGCCAAATATTTGGGGATAAAATGTCTCACCTCTTCCTCTTCATGTGATGATAACTCCATGGCCCTTTTCTATATGGGGCATGGATATTAACGAAAAAATACATCCAAAAGCCTCAAATGGTCATCGATTTATCCTTGTAGCAATTGACTACTTTACCAAATGGGTGGAGGTTGCATCATATGCCAGTGTCACTCAGTCCACTATTTGTAAATTCTTGAAAAGGGAGACCATATGTTGATATGGTCTACCAAAAAGAATCATTATCGATAATGCAACAAATTTGAACAACAAGATGATGGATGTTGCATGTGAACAATTCAACATAAAGCATCACAACTCTACTGCTTATCGATAAAAAATGAACGGAGTGATAGAGGCAGCAAACAAAAATATCAAGAAAATAGTGGAGAAAATGACTTAGAGTGGCACGAGAAACTTTCGTTTGCTTTATTTGCCTATCGAACTTCGGTACGAACTTAGACTGGGGAAACCCCATTTTCGTTAGCCTATGGAATAGATGTTGTATTGCCCATTGAAGTAGAAATCCCATTACTCCGGGTTCTGTCAGAAGTAAAGCTGGATGATGCGGAGTGGACGCAAACTTGATACGATCAATTGAACTTAATAGAAGAAAAGAGGTTGAAAGCCATTCACTGTGGTCGACTCTACCAAAAACAAATTATCCGAGCACACGACAAGAAGTTGTGCCCAATAGTATTCTATGAAGGAAATCTCGTACTGAAAAAGATAAGGCAAATCCAAAAAGACTTCAGAGAAAAGTGGATGCTAAATTGGGAAGGGCCTTATATCGTGAAAAAGGCCTTATTCGGAGGAGAACTAATCCTGATTGAAATGGACGGGTCGGAACTACCTAATCCTATAAACTCTGATACAATCAAGATATATTTCGTTTAGGGTGAAAACCCGAAAGGGTGAACTAAATAAAAAAGGAAAAAAAAGTGGGTCCAAGATGAAAACTCGCAAAGGGAGTCTTGAAACCAATAGAGGATCCAAGTTGAAATTCCAAAAGGGCGACTTGGGTAATGATCCAGGATTCATGCATGGAAAGGTCCCAGATCATGGCAATAAAGCATCACGGCATCCAAGTCTTCAAAAAAATTAGTAATTTGGGAGGAACTTTTCACTCTTCCAAACGTTGTCACGTCTTCGAAGTCCCTTGACAAAAGCTGCACTCAAAAGTCATCTAACGGTGTGAGAGTTCAAAGGCGTCGACATTATCAAAATCTAGAGCACCTATTTGTATTTTTCAAATATCTTTACTTTTAGTAATGTTTGCCATGTATTTTATTTTTTACACATGAATAAATATGGCCATTTGTCTGAGAGAAATCAATTCCTTAGCATCTTAGATTGAATTTAAATAAGAATTATTTATTCACTTTTGAAAAAGATTATAGCGTATTATTGTACAAATATTTTTTTGAAAGGTACAGGTGTTTGGAAGCCGATAAAGGTTCTTGCACCATACTCGAAAGAATGACACGGATACAGTTTACCGAGAAATAAGAAGGCATTGATTAAAAATAAAGGTTAAAACAAAAGATTCTTTCTGAATAATTCCCAGAGAGGATATCAAATCAAGACTCCTTGAGGGTCAGAGAATCCGAAATAAGGAATCAGAAATTCAAGATTGGCAAGAATCAAGAGTCGTCAAGACTGACATCAAGAGATTGAGATTTCTCTCTAAATCCTAAAATAACATATTCTACATATGCATTTTTAGTCTTACAGAAGAACATTGCATCCATAACATCGCACATATACATAATTTTGCAGATTTTTTTATAAGAGTCAATTTCAACTTCACAACGAAGGATATTGAACTCAAGTAACACTCAAAATTAAAAATAGTACAACTTATCCAAGTTATATTTCAACTTCACAACGAAGGATATCCAACTCAAAACAAATATATTCAATTTAGACTCAACTTCACGACGAATGAGTCACCCATGATTTCAACTTCACGACGAATGATATCGTGATCAAGAGATCGACTTAACTTCACGGCGAAGGAGTCATCTGCAACAACGAGGAACCATATCTCAACTAAGGTCATATATACAAATTCCAACTTCATGAGGAAGGGTATTGGGCTAGAAGGAGACATAAGATCGAGTCAACGACGACGACTTACCGCCTAACCCCGACATCGAGCTAGATTTCAACTTCACAATGAAGTATATCATGCTCGAGACATTCAAGATTAACTCAACTTCATGACAAATGAGTCATCCATAATTTAATTACATGGAGTTGTTTCTAACTGAAATATTCAAGTTAAATTTCAACTCGACAATGGAGAATATTAGACTCAGGGTCTCCTTCATACCAAACGAGAATTTGTGTCCATTTATCTTTGTCATATTTTCATTACACAGTAAATGGACAAAAAGGGACAGTTGTAGACACCTATTTTCGTCCGCAATTATTTTTTATTATATAATATATAATATAGTATATAGTATATATATTATAATTATAGTATATGGTATATATATTACATTATTGCATATAATATTATGTTATATATTATTATTATATGTTATATATTATTATTATTATTATTATTATTATTATTATTATTATTATTAAATGGTATATATTTATTATATATTATATACATATATTATATTAGTTATATATATATATATATATTATATATGTTTATATATTTATTATTATATATTTATATTATATATATATATATATATATATATTATATTATAACATAGTGTATATTATATATATATATATAGTATATATTATTATTATTATTATTATTATATATTATATTTATATATTTTATATATATATTAGTTACATATTATATGATGTATATATATTTAATTTATTATTTCTTTTATTATATTATTATTATTATATTTATATTATATATATTTTATTATTTTATTTATTAATTTATTTTCATTAGGTCCAGGTTCAAGGAGTCTCGCAAAGGTCCAGCAAGGAGCCCAACTGGGGAGGCGGGCCTAACCTAGCCAGTTGAGTCGGGAAGCTCAGTAAGCCAAAGTTAGGGTTTTGCAGTAAGGAAAAGCATCGCACATTCAAAGGAGTCCAACAGCCTCCGATAGCAGTGCGCCGACAAGATTACTCGAGATTTTCTGCGCCTGAAACACAAAACAAGAGCAACTCGGGACTGAATCATCTCAAGATCTCCGGTCAAGCACGTCCTCAAGCCCGAGTAAATAGGGAACGGGGAGAAGAACCCTCGAAATAGTCAAAAATCAGCCCCGACCGGGGGCTATATAAATACCACAACAACCACTGAGGAACGACAACAAATATAGAAACAACTAATGAGAAACAGCAAAGAAAACATCGATCAAGCAACAAAATCACCACTAAACAAAAGCAATATACGTCAAAAGAAAAACGAGGCATCCACAACGAGAAAAAACCGCATAAACGTCAAAAAACCGAGCCAAATATTTCGCAAAATCATGAAAAAAAATTGCAAAAACACAAAGGAAGCAGTTTCGGTCGGAGCATAGGAGAGGAGCGGCCGTCGAAAGATGAAGAGTTACACCAGAAAAGGTAAACTTCGAGGCTTCAAACTTAGATCTACGCTTGTAGGGTCCTTTTTAGGACGAATGAGCTTTGATTTCGTGTTTATCGAATCGAGGAGAGCATTTTGGTGTTGTTTGATTTTTTCTGACCACCGTTGGCGGTTGCCGGAGGGGCGGAGCAGCGGTGGTATCCCACCTGGGAAGGTGGTCAGCCATTGGCCGTATTGTTTTGGGGAATGAGGAGTTGAGAGAATTAGGAGAAAATATTGTTTTTTGTGAAATATGATAATGAATGAATTTTTTTGGGTATTTATAACGGAGGACTAGAGTGTAAATATGAGAAAGTTAAATTATTTCCGCAGTCCCTGGTACTTTGAAGTGTAATTCATTTTGGTCACCTGTTGTAAATTGACCTAGGAATTTTGAATTATTTCAATTTGGTCCATATTTATCTTTTTATATTTATGCAATTAACCCCGCTAACATTTAGTTTTGTCCTTGCAGCTTCCGATTAATTCAATTTGATCCTTGATTTTTAATTTTTTCCAATTTAATCTTTTTAATTTAAATTTCCTTTTATTTATTTTTTTTATTTGTTTTATTCTAACCGTAATATTAATCCTTCGCATTTTTCTTTTATCTTGTCTTATTTTATTATTTAACCTTATTTTTTAACTTTTTTTTGGACAATTCTTATCGAATCAAAGGTAAATAATTCGGATTGAATTTCAAATTTTACTTTAACTTTTAATTTTCGCAATTAAGACAACCGAGAAATTAAATTGGTACCAAAAGGGCAGTACAAGGGTTATAATCCTTCATTGATTGTAATTGACCCCCGGATCCGCTGAATTTTTGGTAAAACGTAAATCACGTAAAATGGTAAATTAAAGTATCCGATCAACCTAATTTTAAATGATCAGTGACGGTTCTAACACATTAAAATCATGTTGAAACCTGATTCTGGGCCCACCCGAATGATGGTTATGAAACCTGAAAAGCATTGCCTTGGAGCTGTTTACCTATGCGGTTCAATCTCTGATATTATATCAGAAG